AAAAATTTTGACCCCTAAAACCCTTAAAACTAAATCCTAATACAATATGGTTAACCCAAACATAAATGATATAATGAATAAATAATTGTGAAAAGTGGCATTTTTGCAAAGACTGTAAAAAAGTGGCATTTTTGTAAAATGACACTTGAAAAGTGGTATTTTTTGAAATTTCACTAAATAATATAAAGAAAAAATAATTTTGAAAAAGTGGCATTTTTGTAAATATTTTAAAAATGTGGCATTTTTGTAAAGTGACACTTAAAAAGTGGCATTTCTTGAAATTTCTCAAGAATTTTAATCAATATATTATCAGATTTTCATTTTTATTCTAAAATTATATACAAATTTGGTTTCTCATATAAAAATAGTTTAGTAATTGATTATTGTAATATAAAATTATTAAACAAACTTTGAAAATAATAATAAAGACTTGCCAAATTTTTGAAAGAGATTTTGATATGTTTGTTAAAAAAAATTTTCAGCTTTATAACAACAAATATAAGTTTTTGTTTTAACGCTAGACAATTTGAAAGTAATAAAAATATTTTTTTAATTCGAAAGCAACAATTCTTTTTTAATCTTTTTTCATTTATAAAATTTATGATTCTATATTTTAATGTTTTAAATTATTTTTATAATAAATTCTACTTAAGATATTCGGTCAAGTTAAATTTAAAATGATAAAAACAAATTTTTGAAATTCATATTATTAATAAAAACGATATTATTGATAAAAAAAAATTAACAACAAAGAATCAACAACAATGTCTAAGATAAAAAATCAAAACTACATACATAATTTATCCGCGTACACACAGGAAAATAACTTAGTTTTAGAGATGTTCAAAGCAAAATCATAATAGTCTGTGGAAAACAAATCTTTAATGATTCATAAATGACCTATTATTTGACGTGAGACATATTTTTTATCGTTTATTATATAATAAAATTACATTACAAGGGTTTGTTTTTCTAAATGTGAGAACAACTTATATGTTGACCC